CCATATCTGCTGCAGGAAAATTGAAGTCTATGTTAAGACTTTCAGAATTACACCAAGGTCTGTCTGAAGATATCAAGGATACATAAAAAGAAGAACAATTACTTCACTGTGCCGCCAGCGCTCTTGTGAGTTCGTTGGATGTTTCTATGGAAAAGATGCCTGTATCGCTTTTGAAGTTCATTTGTTAGTTAATTGATAAAAAATCACACAAAGGTGCTTCTGAACCGTATATTGTCCCTAAAGATAACAAAAATTCGTAAATGTATGGCTATTAGAAAATAAATCGTTTCTGTATCAACATTCGCCCCATTACATTTGAGATTGGCCGTGCAGTTATATCATGAATATGGGAATATGGGTCACGAATATTGATAGAAACTTTGTACTCACATGTATTTTGTGTTTCCTATGCAGAGGTAAGACTATACCTGACAAGCATTGCCATGCACGAGTTTGGCCGAATCAAGACGGTATTTTCGCTCCAGATAGCATTGTTGCAAAACACCAAGGGGGATGTTTGATACAAAAAGGTGCTGACAATATAGTCACCAACACGGAGACAATTGATAGTAAGGAACGTTTCATTCCATGGCACGAGCAGACTTTCAGGTTTCTCGCTGCATTGAGGACTCACTGGTAGCCTTCGGCTGTTGTCTGCTCTATGGTCGGGTTGTTGTCTCTTTCGGACACATTCCCCATTTCCATTCTCAATTTTATTATCAATCCGCAATTAATTCCAGAATGCGTCAGATGAAAGTGAAGAGAGGTCAAGATAACACTTTTCAATTGACTGACAGTGCATCATCGTTGGCGGCTGTTTCATTATACCAAAGGTAATAGAGGTCCTGTTCGTGTTCCGAATTCTTTCAAAAATTCGACCGGGAAGACAAAAATGGATAAACCCCATCATTTGTCATGTGACAAATGTCATCAGATTACTTACAGGATTAACTTTGTACCTGCTAAGGCAAATCTTTGTGCTCAAAAGCTGTGTTTGCTTTCAGCAAACTCTGTTGTAAATATAATACGCGTGCTGAATCCGCATATGATGACAAAGAGATTGATTCACATCTCTATTTAATAGGGACGTCAACGAGTACTCGAGTACTCGAGTATCGCTTGGTAGTACCGAGTATCGAATACCAAAATGATACTCGACTAATCGGTTTTTGTTAGAATGGTGCACATTGCCATCTATTATGAAAAAAAAAATTATTAAGAGAAATTAATTAAAATCAAAATACGTTTAAAATGTTTGTTCTTAATTGTCAATTAGAGTTCCTCCTGGGAAAGGTAGGCTATAAACAAGAGAACATTGCCATGGCTTACGCTGATGACCAATCGTGTTGAAGTTATTCCATTACCTCAAATATTTTCAGCAGGACTGTTAGTTACGTTACAAAGTTGAGAAACGATTCGTCCAAGAAAAAGTTGATAAGATAATATTTCTAAAGAAATTATAAAATCTTTGCACCCTCTGTCGACCCTCCGAAAAGCGAAATAGTATTTAATGAAACTAAGGCTATTGTTTTCGCTTTTAGAAGACAAGTTATATAAGGGTCATGACTGATTTTAAATTACAACATTAGCAAATTGACATTACATTGTATTATTTTCCATCACTTCTCTAAAAAATTGATGAGTCTACACTTTTTTGCACAGATAATTCCACTAAGACAATATTCATGCACCAAACTGACTTTGTTTTACACTCAAACAAACGCTTACTCAATGCAAGTCACACATATGATTTTTTTTAAACCTCGCATTCGCCTCGGTTGACTATGGTATTTTTTTGTGTTATAACTGATCTGTCCAGGCTTTGCAAATACACAGTATGTACTTATCTATAACTAGATACTAATTTTCACAAAATACACAACCTTTTAGATACAAAATTAAAAACATTGTTTCAGTGCTTGAATTTTGTTTTTTTCAAAGATAGAAAAAAATATTGAATTAGTTTGATAAACTGGTGTTTTATAGTTTAGAAAATAATGTTGTAATATACTGAAGTGAAAAAGTATAAACAATATGAAAGTTTATGGATGTGAAAAGGTCAAGGCCACCTCTTCTTTTGCTATGTCATAAATGGCAAAAAATCAGAAGGTTCCAAATCAACGCCATTTTGTAATGGCAGCTAGCTCTTCATATAAGTAGTCAAATTTGTCGTTTTATCATCGTTTGTAGCTATAGTATATGCTTATGATTGAACCGTTTTTGTAGCATTCCATTTACTATATATCAGAAAATTTCTCCTTTTTGTCCTTGTAGTTGAAATATTGATATTTTTAGGTCTGACCTTTGACCTCAATTTTACAAAAATGTGACCACTCTGGATTTTTACGACCACACTTTTCTTATTGTACACGTTTTCTTCTTTCCATCAATATATAATTTAGGTGAGTGTTCTTCCGGAACATTAAAGTTTAAAAAAATGAACTCTGGTTGCAGTACTATAAAGAAGAGTTATAAATTGTAGATATATTACCAACAAACAGATGGTGTACATCATGAATATTATATATTAAAAAATGGCTGGAATATTGCTTTTTGTACTTGTTATTTAAAACAAAATTAAAAACACTGAAATCGAAAACTGAAAACCCGAAAATAACCTGTTTGAAATGGACGTCCTTAAAATGTCAAAGAAAATTTAGTGTCATTTATTAATTTATTAACCCTTACCATGCGGTGACCGTCATATGACGGGCTTACCCAAACTACTGTTATTTGGTTCCAATGGCTCTCCATGCCTTTTTTGGTCTGACTTTTTCTCTATTTACGTTCAATGGATAAAACAAATAAAAATGATGCCCAACTTCGCTATCCTCAAAAGACATATTATAAGTTTTGTTTTAATCCATTCAGTACTTAAAGAAGAGTTGTAAATTGTAGATATATTACTAACATTTCATTTATAATAATTCAAAATGTCAAATCATAATACTGCAAAGTAAAACATTAATACAATGATAGTTTAATTTTTTGATACAAGTTTCCACACAGATTTATATGGCAGGGATCTCAAAATGGGATTTTGGATATATTTATGACGTGCAGCTAGGATTTCAAAATCACACCCCCATTTATATATTGGAGTCTTGTGAAAATCAGGACCCATAAATATATTTCATGGCAAAATCATAACCCATTCAAATGTTTCTCAGTTAGCACATCTACAATTTTGACATGTTAAGTTGATTTAAAAGGGTAAAACAGCATATATACAGCTATCTAATCAATAGATGAAATTTACTGACCCATTGACAATCTAATACCTGGGTAAAAATGCAACCCATTGATATATTTGACTAATCAAACATAAGGCACACCTGTGTCTGTATTGCTCATTGAGTTAAAAATTTGCCAGTTTGCTGTTTTTCATATGCATTTACTATAGTTACTCTTTGTGTTGCAAATAGTTTTTGTAATTTACATGTTTACCCTAATTTTTGTTTTTAGATAATGTCAACCAAAACTAAATAAAACAGTAAACATCATTTCAGGAGCAATATGACTTTGAAATGGATTGTTGAGTTTTCAGAGTAGATTGATCTTGTCATGCTGATCTTTTTTTTTTTTTTATATCAAACACTTTAAGCCTACCTCCTATAGTTTTCAAAATAACAGGTTGGATTAGTTTCTTGCATTTTCAGGGTAGATACATCTTGCCATGCTGATCCTTCTTGCAATTAAAAATTTAGCCTACCACCTACAATTTTACAATATAAACAGCCAACAACTGCTAAAATTTTGAAGAAAAAAAAAATCAATATTACAGGGGCAATAACTCCCCAAAAGTAGTCATATTTTTCTAAAATTTACTTGTTGGATATATACATCTTTCTGTACTAATCATTTTTTTCAAATTACACTTATACCCTTGCTCCTAATGCATGTATAGTTTTCGTAACAATTGCAAGGAAATGCTAAAAAAGTTAAACATGATTACATCAACATTTCAGGTGCAATAACTCCAAAGCAGGTGGACAATTTTTTCCAAAATTTTCAGGATAGAGATTGTAGGGCTAACTGTTTCAACCCTGTCAATTTCTATCTAATTGCTATATAGTTTTTGAAATATGAGCCAAAACTGTAGTTTGACCTCTATGTTCTATTTTCAAACTAGTTGGTTTATCATTATCAACTTAGACAAAAATCACCAACTTTATAGTTGACGTCCTATAGACAGAATAGATGTAGACAAACTTTGGTTTTAATCCATTGAGTTTCAGAGAAGATGTTTACCGGTAAAGATAAATTTACAATGACAGACATATTGCTGAATGGATGATGGACGCAAAGTGATGTAAAAAAAAAGGGAACCTTTTGTGAATAGAGTCATATAGGAATGGACCCCAGTGGCAAAGGGCCCTTACAATTGCTAGTTACCCTGTACTGTTTCTGCAATAAGAATGAATGTCAATTTGAAATGTCTATCAAAATATCTGTTGCCAAGTATTCAGAAATATCATGAATATCAGCACTTTCTATATCTGCCAAGGTGTTTTGCAAATCTTCATCATTAAGTTCATTTAAATTTTCAATTTTTACTAACATGACTTTCCAGGCTCTTTAGATTCAAGTTTTACAAAGTTGCAAATAAACTTCTCACTTGAGATGTGGATAACCATTCGTCAGTTTTAGATTTCTTTGTTCCATCATCATGATTTAGTAGCTTTAAATTGCCAGAGATTTGTTCAAAGTTTGGTCTTTTTCCTGAATCACTGCATTCCATATATATATATTGTGTAAAAATTCCTTAACCTGACTGCTAAAGCTTTTCACTGGCTTAGAAATTTTAAGAACCCAGCCTTCTGCAATATTTAAATTTGTTGTTAAAACCGATTGTAGCAAAACCTTATGTTCATGATCAACAGCTACACATGTCTCGGCCCAAAGAAGCTTAACTTTATCATAATTATTTTCTTTGTTAACATACACATGCCTGCCAATGCATATGTGTTGTTCTAAAAAGTGAGGTTTTGTGTAAATCTTTAAACAGTTTTCCTCAGGAATGCAAATAAAGGTTCATCCTCTGAATTATCTTCAGTTTCTGTTATAACAGTTGTTCTCGGAAAATCTTCAGTTTCTGTTGTTACATCTGAGTTTTCTTTTTTATATTTGTTATGAACCGAGCCTGGTATGAAAGATTTCTTTCTCATAAATGGTATTTGTACCTACAAAAAAACATAATCATATTATCATAATTTACACTGCAACTATGTAATCTGCACAGATAAATGATTAAAATCTCATTTACCATATATTCAACAGTGATTTATTCAGTCACTTACCATATATTGACTTTTTTATGATGTAGACTGTATTTTGTAGAGTTTTTATTTATGATGTCAGTAAAGAATACAGGTTAACAGGATTTTTTTACATTGTCCACTTCAAGCGCAACAACCTTACCCTTCTTGAGTATCCCCTGTAATTTGCTTGTTTGTTTTATGGAGTTTGTATCATTTTTTAAGTGTTGCATATTTTTCTTTTGACATTCAATGTTTGCACATACAGATCTCTTTTTTCAAGCAATCATACGATGAGAGCTGAATATATTTAAATGAAAATTTATGCTGTGACATCTAATGGCAAACAGTGATGTAGACAACATAAATTTGGAGAATACTGTTGCATTTCTTTTGACTACTTGGGCATGTTGGGTTGGTAGGTCTGCAATTTTATTTTACTATAAAGCTAAAAAACATCATTTAATCTTGTTCTAGAATCAGACTGAAGTATTTAATTTTTGAATTGATTTTAAGTTATCAACCTTTTTTTTTACAGTAGATTAACTGTATACCGCCATTTTGTATTGCAAGATAGCAGTACACAATCAGTCTAGTTCTTTGCTTAAATCTGCAAATATTTAGACAGAATGGCAATTAAAGGCTAAGATTTTTTGTTTATGATTAATTGCATTATAGACTGTTTTAAGGATGTATTCTTCTGACGTTACAGTCTCGCTGAAATCACGTTCTGGAATTATTTCCAAAACGTGATACAAGTGGAAAATATCAATGAATTTAAAAATTGTTATAATCAAACTTAACTGTGTGAAAAAATTGCGTATTTACAATGAGTAGTTTAGAGTAATCAATTTTTCAAATTTTATTACCAATCAGGTCAGTCTTTTTAGCCAACATTTTGAGAAAATGGGTGAGGGGTACAAGAAATGATTTTACGAGAAACATGTACATCTCATATCACTTTTTTCTTTTCAAATTTCTTAGATATGTATTTTTTCAATCATTTATAACAAAGAAGTTGTTCTTAAAACAGAGAAAAATCACAAATTTACAAAAACGACAACATGGTTAATTTGACACAAAAAAGCATCAAAATATGATAAAACTTTCTTATATTAACACCTACCTATAGTTTTTTATACGACCGCAAAAACATTTTGTGGTCGTATATTGGTATGACGTTGGCGTCGTCGTCGTCCGGTGTTGTCGTCGTCCGGTGTCGTCGTCGTCCAAAGACACATTGGTTTTCGCACTCTAACTTTAGTTTAAGTGAATGGATCTCTATGAAATTTTACCATAAGGTTCAATACCACAAAAGGAAGGTTGGGATTGATTTTGGGGGTTATGGTACCAACAGTTAAGGAATTAGGGGCCAAAAAGGGGCCAAAAATAAGCATTTTTGTAACTTCCAGACATAACTTGTGTGTTAGTGTATGGATCTCTCTGACATTGTACCACAAGGTTCCATATCACAAAGGGAATGCTGGGATTGATTTTGGGGGTAATTGCCTCCAAATTTTGGGAATTAGGGGACAAAAAAGGGGCAACAAACAAGCATTTTTCTAGTTTCATGACAATAACTTGTGTGTAAGTGTATGGATCTTTCTGAAATTGTACTACAAGGTTCCATATCACAAAGGGAAAGCTGGAATTGAGTTTGGGGGTAATTGCCCAAAACGTTGAGGAATAAGGGGCCAAAAATAAGCATTTTTCTAGTTTCCAGACAATAACTTGTGTTCAAGTGTATGGATCTCTCTGAAATTGTACTGCAAGGTACCATACCACAAAGGGAAGACTGGGATTGATTTTGGGGGTAATTGCCTCAAAATTTTAGGAATAAGGGGCTAAAAAGGGGCAAAAAATCAAGCATTTTTCTAGTTTCAGGACAATAACTTGTGTGTAAGTGTATGGATCTATATGAAATTGTACTACAAGGTTCCATATCACAAAGGGAAAGCTGGGTTTGAGTTTGGGGTAACTACCCTAAACGTTTAGGAATTTGGGGCCAAAAAGGGGCCAAAAAACAAGCATTTTTCTAGATTCCAGACAATAACTTGTGCTCAAGTGTACAGATTTCTCTGAAATTGTACTGCAAGGTACCATAAAACAAAGGGAAGGCTTGGATTGATTTTGGGGGTAATTGCCTCAAAATTTTAGGGATTAGGGGCCAAAAAGGGGCAAAAAAACAAGCATTTTTCTAGTTTCAGGACAATAACTTGTGTGTAAGTGTACAGATCTCTTTGAAATTGTACTGCAAGGTACCATACCACAAAGGGAAGGCTTTTTTTTTTCCTTTTTATTTCTTTAAAATTTTCCATTTTAAATTGGTTATTTCTGATTTATATATAAAAGCAAATAATAATGATATGGTTTGAATAGGTAAATTAAAATTTTTAAGTTCTTAGACCACATTCATTCTGTGTCAGAAACCTATGCTGTGTCAAATATTTAATCACAATCCAAATTCAGTGCTGTATCAAGCTTGAATGTTGTGTCCATACTTGCCCCAACTGTTCAGGGTTTGACCTCTGCGGTCGTATCAAGCTGTGCCCGGCGGAGCATTTTATTTTAAGTTAAATTTATTCAGATTGGTCCACTTCATCTTTATTGAAAGTATGAAAAAAAGTTTAATTGTGGAACTGTGATTTTTTTCACAATAATAGCCCAAAAATAGGTAAAAATTGATGAAAAATGGGGAAATCATCAAAATTGGGTACTTTCAAAGGGCTGTAGTAACCCGAATAATTCAGTCGTTATATTTCACTGCTCTACGATGGCTACATTAACGCCTGAAAGCCTGGTCAATAAAAAATCGTCAAATAATCATTCGGAATTAGCTCGGGATTTACCTATCTCGATAACATTGAGCTATTTGCTGATTGGCTCTCTTTCACAGAGAGCACCAATCAAAATCCTGGATTCGTGACGCGTTTTTATTGTATAAAGAATTCAGGCCCTCGCGAGTGGGAGAGTTGATCACATTGAGGGACTGAATTATTCTGTAGCAAAAAAAGAAGTGCACGGTGCACCACCATATAATTTTTTTCTTCACCAATTATTTTTTTACAGTCATATAAACCCAAAAATCAGGTTAAGAAAAAAAGTTTAATTCTAGAAATTTTTGGTTCCTCAGAGGTGTACATTCTTAACAAATATTAAATACATTTTTTGTTCCATTCAATTTTTCAATTTATGCATGTGATATAAGGGGAGATAACTCATATAGTAAAATTTGTATGCTAGAATGATAGTGAAATATGAAAAAACTAGTGCAAAATGTTTGCTTTATTGACATGAAGATATGACACAATAGGTCTGAAACAATCCATTGACATCTTATAGGAGTTATTGACCCTGAAATGTTTTATTTTAGGGTAAATTGATTATAATTACTTCAAATTGGTACATGATAAAGCCATAAGATCTTTTGCAAAATGTTGGGCGACATATGACCTTGAAAAATGTCAACCTGGAGTGACAGTGAATGAACCAGAAGTAGTCATTTTTGCTCTTTTTTTCATGGAAAAGTACCTAGAAACCATATATTTTTTGAATGGGCTTACATTAACCTATCATTTAAGACGGGAAGTGACATTTTATTATCAAGAAGTAGCATATTATCTCCCTAATTACAGGCATAAGTATATGCGAACTATATATTTTTGGAATCAGTGTGAATAAAGCTATCATGAGACCGGAAGTAACATTTTCTAATCAAAAGTAGCCAATTATCTCCCTTTTTAAAGACAAAAGTATATATAAACCATATATTTTGGAATCAGTGTAAAGAAAGCTATTGTATGAGACCAGAAGTGACATTTTGACAAGTTGGCAATTATCTCACTTATTTCAGGCAAAAGTATATAGAAACCATATATTTATTAAATCAATAAGAAGAAACCTATGATTGGACGTCAATAGAAACTTTCAGTGAACCAGAAGTAGCTTCTTATCAATTATTTAGAAAATTGATGTGGAAAGACCTTCAATTGTTATTTGAACAATTGGTTTTTGTCGAGCCTGTGACTTTTGTCACAGAAAGCTCGACTTAAGGATAGTGATGCGGCGGCGGCGTTAACTAACTCCTTAAAAGCTTAATATTTCAGAAGGTAGAAGACCTGGTCAAACAAGGAATTATTTGAATCTGGAATAATTTTGAATTCTGGAAAATTGATTAGAAATGTATGATGAAAACTAACCCAACTAAATAGGGTTAGCCATGCATGCATGGCTAAGGTTAATTTTACTTTCACTATCATTTCAGTATGAACTAACTAACCCCCCTTAGCCATGCGCGCATGGCTAACCCTATTTAGTTGGGTTGGTTTTCATCATGAATTTCTCATCAATTTTCCAGAATTAAAAATTATTCCAGATTCAAATAATTCCTTGTTTGGATGCTTCATACTTTGTATATATATATAGATGCCTTATGATATGAAGTTTCCGTCTCTCATATGTCCATTGTCCTTGACCTCATTTTCATGGTTCAGTGACTACCTGAAAAAAAAAGTTAAGATTTTTTGTAATATTAATTTCTCTCTTATTATGAGTAATAGGATAACTATATTTGGTATGTGTGTACCTTGCAAGGTCCTCATGCCTGTCAGACAGTTTTCACTTGACATTGACCTCATTTCATGGATCAGTGAACAAGGTTAAGTTTTCATGGTCAAGTCCATAACTCAGATACTATAAGCAAAAGGCCTGTTATATTTGGTGTATGTAATAATTGTAAGGTGTACATGTCCAACTGGCAGGTGTCATCTGACCTTGACTTCATTTTCATGGTTCAGTGGTAATAGTTTAGTTTTGTGTTTTGGTCTGCTTTTCTAATACTGTAAGCAATAGGTCAACTATATTTGGTGTATGGAAATATTTTACAATGTACATGTCAGTCTGACAGGTTTTAATTGACCTTGATCTCATTTTCACGGTTCATTGCTCAATGTTAAGTTTTTGTGTTTTGGTCTGTTTTTCTTAAACTATAAGCAATAGGTTAACTATCTTTGGTGTATGGAATGATTGTAAGGTGTATATGTCTGTCTGGCAGGTATCATCTGACCTTCACCTCATTTTCATGGTTCATTGGTTAATGTTTAGTTTTCCTGGTTAACTTTGTTTCTTAGATATTATAAGAAATAGGTCAACTATATTTGATGCATGGAATGATTTTAAGGTGTACATGTCTGTCTGGCAGGGTTCAAATGACCTTGACTTCATTTTCATGGTTCATTGGTCAATATAGAATTTCCATGGTTTGTTGTGTTTTATTTTAATTCTATAAGCAATAGATCATCTATATTCTGTGTATGGAATGATTGTATTAAAGGTGTACATGTATTTCCGGCTTGGTTTATCTGACCTTCACCTCATTTTCTTGGATCATAAATGTTAATGTGATACTTGTAGTAAAACTTTAAATTATCAGCATAAAATCACTGGTCAATATAGTAGGCGAGACATTTCAGCGTGTGCACTCTTGTTAATTCTTAGAATGATTGTTCAGAAACTAAAGAATGAGCTTTTAAAAACCCATCATAAAGACCTGAATAATGCATAGCTATATCGGGAAATTCATTTTTAAATATCATTGATATCATGATATAACTAGTAAGTTTTGTATGAAAATTAAATGTATGAAAGCAGCAGGGTGACCTGTAGCTGCTTACCTTCTACGTCATTTGGTCTCTGGTTGATAGTTGTCTCACTGGCAATCATACCACATCTTCTTGTTTTTTTTTTAAACGTTACAACACACTTTCTAGCATACTGTAAATTCAGAAATAATGTGTGCATTTAAATCCCTTAAAACTTTGTACAATAAGAAAAAATTCTAGATTTATTAAAAGCAATTGCAAAAAATCTTGTAAAGGAAAATAAGCATTACAATTAAAGAACGTTCATGGCCAAAATTATATTTTCAAAAAGGCATAACGCCTTGAAAAAAATTTGAATCATAATTTCTTGTTGATATGCAATTATGTGATAGATTTATTAAACGCAATTGTGAAAAAATCTTGTAAAGGAAAATAAGTGTTAAAATTAAATAACTTTTATGGCCAAAATTCTAATTTCAGAGGGGCATAACTCCTAGAAAAATATTTGAATCATAATTTCCAGTCGATACGCAAATCAACATACTCATCGTATGTCCTTATTACTTACAAAGTTTCATGAAATTCTGTTATGTGGTTTCAGAGGAGTTGCAATGACAAGAACAGGACTGATGGACAGATGGATGGGTCAAAAACATTAAACACCATGCAACTGTTGCATGGGATTAATTAAACTACAAGTTTGTATTACTAATAATGCGATTCAGTTCCAGTTGCATTTTTTGCAATAATAAAAACATCACAATAATTTCTGAATTTAAAGTAATATGTAGGTCAAAGTTACAGAAACTACACATTGCATACCTCAAATCCTTTCAATAATTCATGATCTTTAAACTGGTCACTGGACATTAAATAACATTTATAAGCCTTTCTAAAGGTGACTCCATTTGGTTCAAAGGTTATGTTGTTCATTTGGCTAACATTTGGAATTTTTGTCTTCATCTTAACCTCTTCCTTCATGCCCACTGAAACAACTGACGCTATTACTCCTTTTATTCCTCCATTTGAATAAATGGCAGTCAACATATCACCTGGTATAACAACATTATGCCCTTCATATTAAAACCTACAAGATAAAAACATAATGTCCTAAAGAAGTGAGCATTTCCACTATGTATTGCTATAAGTTCTCAGTGTTAAAACTGCTCAGCAATTATTAAAAGGAAAAATAAACCTTAATGCACAGTTATACATGTAGATGTTATACTATCCAGGTTTTATATGATTTTATTTGAATATTCAACATGTTCAATAACCCATTTACCTGACAGATTGATGTTAATTTTTTTCATCTTGTTTTTTATCCTTAGGTGAATAGACATTGACAAATTTTCCATAAATAGTTTTTCCATTTTCGTCTTGTCTGCGGAATTGCTTTTCTGGCATTGTCTGCAACAGTGTCAACAATTGTTAAGTTTTCTGCATAAGTTATTTGGATAGGAACTTCTTTTGATAAATCAATGATATTTTCTATAAAGTTGCATTACTATCAGTACAAATCAGTTTGATGACTATTTCTAGGCCTAGACCCTAGGTCATGGTCCAGTGAATGAATTAATTATCAATTTTCAATGTTCAGTTTTCTGCTCAAGTCAGTTTGATAGGAACTGCTTGTGATAGATCAATGATATTTTCTAAAAAAAAGTTGCATTACTATTAGTGTATATCAGTTTGACAACTATTGTGAAGCCCTGCCCCTAGTTCATAGTCAGCAACTTTTGATTAATCAGCAAAGTTGCTGTCCATCAGATTGTATTTTTGTGAATTTTCTGCTGTTTAAAATTCAGTAAATAAATGTTGACACTGCAAAAATCATTCTTAATTTTATGGACAATAGAATTTGTTAACATTTCATTTATGATTTGATTACAAGTTTAATAGCATTTTGGCAACCAAATGAATAACTGATGAATGGACAAACGAACAAACAGAAAATATGTTTCTGGCCCGTAGTTCAGTGGTTGTCGTTGATTCATGTCTTGCTTACTTGTTTTATCATAAATTGTTTTGTTATAAATTAGGCAGTTTGTTTTCTCAATTGAATTGTTTCATATTTTTCATGGCGGGGCCTTTTATAGCTGACAGTATGGGTTTTTCTCATTGTTGAAGTCTGTACCGTACGGTTGCTAAAAATAGCTAGCTTACATCTACTTCATTTGAACTTGGGCGGATAGTTGTCAGTCATACCACATTTCCTTATTTTTATGTTCTGTTTAAAGGGGTACTTAAAAAACTCAAAGAAAAATCAGAATTAGCAAAATTTCATGTGTATTCAGAACCCTGATTTGTCTTTAGATTCTAAATTTGCTCATAATGTATTGCACCTTAATTAGTATGTGCATCTTGCAGTGAGCTGTTTTGGCATCACAAATATCCTTCCCAGCCTGAGGTTCACTGAATTTGTACTCCGTGACTTTAATTGGTGACAAGGTGTTCAAATGGCTAAAATATGCAATAAGGCATTTAAAGTGGTAGCCCCAGCATTATCACTTTTCATGAAAACCTTGCTGAGACCAACATCAATACTAGACAATTGTTTTAATAAATCTGTAATAATATGGGCACCTGAAAACCATCCCTGTGTACCATGTTCCATGATGTGAATATATTTATTTGTGTCATATTTGTTCTCAATATTTTCAGTATATATCTTACTGAAGTGATGACAGTTGATACATGCCAACTGATTCCTTTTTTCCCAAAGAAATCACTTTGAACTTCATGATATTTCAAAGGTATAAATTTCATGGCCCAGCCCATGACGACTAATGCTTGAAATGGCTTCAGTTGATCAAGAGTATCATGATTGGCTTGATCCTGGTGTAAAGTTCTTACGCAATGGGCCTTCCATGCAAGAATACTGATCCTTGATCTATCAATTTCATGTAGAACTTCTTCAGATACATCCTGTGGAATAGTGGCAAATGATTGCAAGTTCTCATAGGATTCACTCACTACATTAAGTGCTTTTTCCACTACTTCACATTCTTCACAACCTGTACTATGCTCACATTTCTTTTGGAAGACATCATATTTAGGGTCACTCAAACTGTTTACTGTGCAATGATCTATGCATGGTGATTTCATTTTTAAGTGTCCTTTAATTTCAAACTTTAAGTGTTGATTTAAGGATGCCATTAGATTGTTTAACTGATCTACATTTTCCCCAGATAATCCAAACATCTGTAGCTTTGAAATAATACCTGTTAAAACACCCACTGCTTTAAAGCCATCTGCAGTAATGTTATCCAGACTGTAAATTTTTCTTTTGTGAGGAAATACAAACATTCAAAATGTTGAACAAAGTTGATCTGCTGAATGTCTCAAAGTGTTGATCCTCACAATATGCAAGATATCATATGTATTGATTAATCTGGCAGAAATTATATTTCTGACCACCTTTGGAATCACTATTTCCACACCTATAGATAGGGAAATTTCCTTTGAGCCATAACCTACAGCTTGGTGATAATGCAGAACTTTCAGCCTACTGAGACGTGTTCTAGATATTGTTTTATTACAAATCATTTGCCCTGGTGATTCATAAGAAGCATGACTCTGTGCTGCATCAATTTTGGATATTGTTACTCCTAGTATTAGTTTTATAGGATTTTCTCTGGAGAATTTATGTGCAAATAGTGATAGTATTTGTGTTTGGGTTAGTCTATTGTCCTGATCTAAGTAAGCCTTCACTAGTGCTCTTGTAATAAGATGTCATGCTTGTCTAATGTAGGATTTCACAGGAATCAAGTTTTTTCCCAATTTCAGAGAAAACAGTATTAACCTGTCCTGGAACAATATGACTTAGAACCAAACTTACAGCTTCTGAGGCAACTTTTAGGTACAAAGACTTGGTACTTTTAGATGTATCTGTCCATTGTAAAGTCAGCTGACATTTGAGTAGGTTTTCAAATTTCCCTTTCCCTAGGATCATCATTGCACAATTAAACATATCTTTATCAGTTTCATTTTCTTTTTCTCAATCAGATGAAGACTGTTGTCACCAACAAACATTTTTTTCATTTATTGTTTTATATATAAATCAAGCTATTACTTTTCCAGTTTTAATTGTTTTACATTTGTCATTTTGGGACCTTTTATAGCTCACCATGAAGTTTGGGTTTTGCTCATTGTTGAAGGCCATACAATGACCTACTATATCTGTAAACTTCTACATCATTTGGTCTCTGGTGGAGAGTTGTCTCCTTGTCAATCATGCACATCATCTTATTTTTATATTGTAGTAAAATTAATTATTACTATGGCCAAAACAATGAGTTAGTGAACCAACCCCTTTATAAGGATTGGTAAAGTAATACTTGTGACTATGAATCTACTTACAATTTCTATTAATTGTGCAATACTTCTCTCAATTTGGATTGTGATTAAATATTTGACATAGCATAGGTTTCTGACAAAGAATGAATGTGGTCTAAGAACTTAAAAATTTGAAATTGGTCATTTTCCTATTCTTGTCCAAAATATCCAAAATCTAAATACATGGTTAGATTCAGCATATAAAAAAAAAACCACAAGAATTCAATTTTTGATGAAATCAAACAAAGTTTATTTTGGACCATTTGGACCTCAATGTGGACCAATTTGATAACAGGTCCAAAAATCCCAAAACACAGTTAGATTCAGCACATCAAAGAACCCCATATATATTCAATTTTTGTTGAAATCAAACAAAGTTTAAATTTGGACCCCGATTTGAACCAACTTTTAAACTGGGCCAAAAATCCAAAATCTGAAAACATGTTTTGATTCAGCAAGTCAAAGAACCCCATGAATTGGACCTTAATGTGGACCAATTTGACAACAGGTCCAAACTTAAAAATATAATTACACAGATAGATTCGGCATATCAAAGAACCCATAATTAAATTTTGGATGAAATCAAACAAAGTAAAATTTTGGACCCTTTGGACCTCAATGTGGACAAATTTAGAAATTGGGCCTAAAATCCAAAATCTGAATACACGGTTAGATTCAGATTATTATAATGAACCCCAATAATTAAAGACTTTGAATTTAACCCCATTGAAATTGGTCAAGAAATGAGCAATTTATATAAAGTATTAGAAAAGTATGGTTTTTGGACCCTTTTCCATAAACGGTTAGGGCCATAACTCGAAAAATCAATCCCAACCTTCCTTTTTTGATATGAAAACTTGTGGTACAATTTCATAGATATCCATAGACTTATACTCAAGTTATCGTTGGGAAACCAGAAAATCCTATTTCTATAGCCTAACCCTTAATTCCTGAATGGTTTGGGCAATAACCCCAAAAATCAATCCCAACCTTTCTTTAGAGGTATGGAATCTTGTTACAATTTCATAGAGATCCATACACTTATACACATGCAAGTAAAATTTTTGTGGTTGAATAAAAAATATTTACTCTGATCTTGATAAGCCTTTTAAAAGCCACATGCAACTTTAATATGAAATATGACTTGGATCTAGACAGGCATTACAAAGTATAGACAGGAAACAAAACAGGGGACAAACATATGGACATGACTATTCCTATATACCTCTGTAAACAATGTATGCAAAAGGTATAAAAATACGTAAAAATTTATATACTATGGCAATAATGTGTAATATTGAATATTGATATTTACCCATATGATTATCCTCTACAATAAGGCTAATATGTTCATCAGTAATATTGAAGTTAAGGATTCTTTCAAATAATTCTGGAAAACAAGAATGTGTCCATAGTACACAGATGCCCCACTCGCACTATCATTTTCTATGTTCAGTGGACTGTGAAATTGGGGTCAAAACTCTAATTTGGCATTAAAATTAGAAAGATCATATCATCATGATCATAGGGAACATATGTACTAAGTTTCAAGTTGATTGTACTTCAACTTCATCAAAAACTACCTTGACCAAAAACTTTAACCTGAACTATCGTAGGTGGGGCATAAAAAAAAACCATATGATATATTTCTTGATTAAAGCTGTGTTAAGCAAGAATTTACAGAATACAGATGAAAAATTAGTTTCATTGATGTTAGCTTTGTTATTATATAAAGTCTAATTTTTTTTTTAACATGTATGCAATTATTGATGTTGGTGACTGAACTTACATTGTAGGCCACACAAAATAGGATGCATTCTTTTGGTAATTAGTTGTATCCAAAACCAAAAAATTAAAGATAAATAACAGATGATTCTAAATTTTACAATATTTCTGATATGGACTTAAAATTTATCTGGTCTAATTATTTATGTTAGCATATAGGGCTCAAAGGTTGTAAAAAAATAATGGTAAATCATACCTGCCAGCTGACCCCATTGGTCCCCCCCCCCCCCTGAATCCTACTTGTTGGTTCATGACCCATAAAGCACATCTGCAGGTAGCATTAGTTTCAAAAGTAGTACAAAGATGATAAAAAAATTCTTACCAATATCTGCTTCAGGAATAACTTTAAGAGGGCTTGATATGAAATACTCTCTGTGCCTGGTTGAACACTGTTTGCATATATATTCCTAAAATAATAAATATACATGTCATTTTATAAAATAAAGTTTGTATAAATAGTCATACACACGTATATGGGTATTACTAAATAATACTTGTATTTATGAAGTTATGCAGGAAAGAAAATGATAAAGCTTGTATATTTTTTATAATTCTATATATACAACACAGGGGCGTGATATTTAATCTTGTTATTCAATCAATTACTTATATATATATTTTTTTATTTGCATCATGTATATATGTATCATGTATACTCTTTATAAAACTAAAATAAAAGAAAAAGTTCTATTCTTATATCAATTACATTTTTTTTTTTTGTAACTTGTTACCTTTTTTTGAAATGATGCCTTACTGAGGGTAGGAATGCCCTTTACCGTCAGGCTTCAAACGGTCATTTTCAGCTACCGTTAGAGTCAAATTGGTTAAAATTTTATCATGATTCGTCAAAATATCTTTATCTGCAATTGGTTGCACCTGTCCTAAGTCGGGAATCTGATGTTCAGTAGTTGTCGTTTATTGATGTGGTTCATAAGTGTTTCTCGTTTCTCATTTTTTTTTTTAAATATATTTGACCGTTGGTTTTCCAGTTTGAATGGTTTTACACTAGTAATTTTTGGGGCCCTTTATAGCTTGCTGTTCGGTGTGAGCCAAGGCTGTGTGTTGAAACCGTACTTTGACCTATAATGGTTTACTTTTTATAAATTTTGACTTGGATGGAGAGTTGTCTCATTGGCACTCATACCACATCTTCTTATATCTATTATCATGATACATCAGACATTTCAAATAATTAACCGTTACTGTTATTTTTGGAAAGAATTTAACATGATTCGTCAAAATCAGTCGATTATTTTATCGTCATAAAGAAAGTGCACATTTTATCGTCATGCACCCAATATTACCGTTAACATCATTTGGCAAGATTTTTTACCGTTATTCGTCATGAAGGTACCCCCATTACAACCCTCTTTTCTGTACCACTGTCATAAATGTGTGCACATGCCCTATGCTGATTTTTCATTTGTTTACTTTTGAAAAAGTGTATTATAAATTGCCTTCATTCATTTAATGTATTGGAAAAACTTGCAATAATTCCAAAGGAAGGGGAGGGGGAATATGAGACATCTCTGCTAAGAGACAACTCTGACCAACTAATAAGTCAACTTGGACCAACTATTAAGTCAACTTGGACCGTCTGTAATATCAAACCAGACAAAGTTTTAAAAGAAAATAAAGTTTGACATGTAACTGCTATTGAGAAGGTAATTTCCATGCTGCAATGTCCATTTGTTACAATCTTATGTGATTATTCATAAAAATATGTACCAATATTTGATAACTCATATGATATTCATGAATGTGTGGCTGTTGTGAATCTTATTTACCATGGTACTGACCCATCATGAAAATAACCAAAAATAAAAACTTTCAAGAATTTGATCCACCAAAACAAAGTGTATTTTTACTGACAGTGTACTTCTATGTATGCAGATAATATCATTTTTTTTCCGTTGGTCAGTTGATGTTTCTAAATATGGCACAAAGTAGGAGAAATGGGTTGGAAAAATTCTTAAGCTCATTTTCTGTTAGAAATGGAATCAAAATCATTATTCCTCTTGATAACAGATACTTAAAATATCATACAAAAAATACACTGTACCAGTGGCAAACCCTTTTTTTTAAATGTGTGATGAGAGGCTGGTCCTGAATACTTCATACACATGATTTATGTGGTATAAAACTTCAAAAAGTAACAATGAGGGGAGGAAAAAAATTATAAATTAAAAAATTGACAAAAAAAATTAAAAAGGTATATAAGAAGTACCGGTATTACATATATATATATGGATTATATTAGTAAAAACGTGACACACATGAGCAATGCAATTTGTGATATAATAATTATTGTATTAGTAAAACTTTTTGAAAAATTGTTAAATCAAGACCTTTGGCCTGGGAGATGTTTGGTTCACTTTGGCTTTTCGCCAGACACTGTAGTCCACTTAAATGCAAATGCGTGTTCTTATTAAAATTTGAAATAGGTTTTATGATTGTGCAATCGTCATAATTTGCAGATTTCCCACAAGAAATATCAGTTAAATGTTAGAAGTCGCATTTCACAGTCTCATTCTCCATTACAGACAACTTCTGATAACTTTCTGTTTTCAATGAGGAGAGTGTAAATAAGGGGATTTAACTCATAGATCTCCTTGGACTGGGTTTTTTTTTACCTATTTAAGGAAGTTTTTGACAATTAGACATAAAATAAATGACAAAATATGTATAAAATGTATCATATCAAAATTTTATGTGATTCAGGTATTGAGTTAAGTAATTTTTTAGGGTTAACAGGTTTTAATTAGAATTAGAATATTTCAGAAATTTATCAAAATCTAGCAAAGTGAGATGTAAAATTCAATATCTTGCAATTATTTGCCAAAATTGGATTTTTGATATTTTTGACAATATCCATTGGTCTATTCATTGATGCTTATTTCATGAAAAAATAAGTGCCACTTTAGGAGATTGATGGGCTCAAACTTCTTTCAAATTTCAATGTGGCAAACACAGCCTTCTTTAATACCCCCAATGAATACCCGGTAATCATTTGGGACAAATCATTCCGGGGGCCTCGGTGGCCGAGTGGTCTAAGTAGTTACTACTGTAATCACTAGCCAGTCAACACTGAGGTTGTGAGTTCGATCCCCGCTCGTGCGGGTGCACTCGACTCCAATCTTAATTGACTAGGATTGTCAGTTTTCCTATCGAAGGTCGATGGTTTTCTCCGGGCACTCCTGCTTCCTCCACCAATAAAAACTGGCCGCCACGAAATAGCCCAAAAGCGGTGCTTAAAAGTGGCGTTAAAACACCAAAAATCAAAAATCAAAAATCAAATCATTCCTGGCATGGTTTATTTTTGTCTATCTATAAAAAAGAAGATGTGGTATGATTGCCAATGAGACAACTCTCCACAACAGATAAATGACACAGAGTTTAACAACTATAGGTCACCGTACGGCCTTCAACAATGAGCAAAGCACATACCGCACAGTCAGCTATAAAGGTCAATCTAGGTTATTTTTAGCAAATATATGTTTAAATTGCCAGTAAAAATGTTAAAAATTGGAATTTTTGGAGTTGCAACTTACAAATTTTTTCACTAGCATTTTAGTGATTTTCAGGCATTTATGCAAATGAATCTGTTTCTAAGAATAGAAATGATGGAACAAAGTCTTAGATATATAAGTTCCAACATGCCATTTGGACAAAATTTTGGATTTTGCATGGTTTTCTGGCAGACTAGCTCTTAGCATTAGCACCTTTTTTCTTTTATAAAATGCGTGACATTTTTTCAATGCACCCCTCTAGTTTATTATATACAGGCGTATGACGGAAATGTAGTCCTGCAGAGTTCTCGAAAACTGATGGTCCGAAGGTTTTACCCACCACCATATTCAAAGGACTGACTCTATTTTATTGTTTTGCAATAGAACATACATGTACATGTAATATATAGTGAGGATCAGCAAATTTTCATCAAGGACTCTATAATGAAAACCAAACGTAATATGTTGATATTTATATTTTCATGCAGGCAACATTGATTTATTCAAACATTTCTTAGATTTCTAACGTTATTCCGATGACCTTTGTATGTGATCATGTATGTTGAACAAAAAATATTGGACACTGTGACTCTGAAAAGAAACTATCTCTGAACTAAAGATATTTGTAAACAATTTTTATTGTAATGAGCATGGTCTTGACTAGAATAAAAACTAAATATAAATTATGAGTTATGCAGAACCAAATTGGTTTCATTTGGTGGGTCAGCTTTTCCGCCGAAGGAATGGACAATTTTCCCACTTGCAGCATGTTATCCCCATAATATATATATATAATATACAATTATAGCCTTTGTATGAGGTCGATGCAAGGATATATCGACCTGAAAGAAGTATATCGACAGAGGACGAAGTCCGAAGTCGATATACTTCTTTAGGTCGATATATCCTGTATCGACCTCATACAAAGGCTACAATTGTTATATTATTAATTCACAAATATTGTCAGTGCATAAGAATCTGTATTTTTTATGATTTTATCTTGACGGTAGTATATTAATTGTTTCTTTGACTTGTTCACCAAATCTGTTCTTTTCTAAATATTTAAAGATTCTTATAAGATGTAATAATTGATTTGGCCATGTTGAACGAAATATATGATGATTATTTATTCCAACATTAACAATATCATGAAATTTAAAAGGTATTTCATGAATAATATGCCAACAATTCAAAAACAATTGAAACATTTAACTAATGTTTTTGGTAGACTAAACAATTTAACAATTAAACATTGAATAAATTTCTAAAACACTTTGTTTTTCATTAATTCTTCTGAAAAAAGTTGTAATTGACAGTAATATTTGAACAGTTATTGAATACTGGAACTGGCATAGCTTTCTGGTTAATACTAGCAGTATCAACTGAGTTTGACTGTTTTGGTATACATCTTGGAACTTCAAGGGATTTCAATAAATCATCCATACCATCATCATGATGATCAGCTGCCAATTCAGGAATGATATCATTAATGAGGTTTTGAGTTTGGGAGTCGGACAATGGCTGTAAATTGAAAGAGCCAAATGAGGCAGTTGATATTGCTTCAGTTTCAACGGTCACACTTGTTTGTGAAAGACACAAATAATCAATATTTGACGACAAAGTGGCCGGTTTTGTAACTTTAGATGTTTTGCATAGTGTTTTTTCACTTAATGTCTCTGACATCACTTTTTTTGTTTTTTCACACGTTTTACCGCTATATGTCTTTAAGGATGCCTCTGATTTATGACCAGTGACACTCATAATGTGTCTACTGGGAATTTGTGCTTCATCCAAAATGTGGACAGTTGTAGCCCTACAAGAATGGTTGGTATACTCTCTTGAAAGATTAGCTGCCTTGCTTATCTCATTCATGTAGTTGCCGAGCTTGTTATGTCCGAGGGGAATGTTGTCATAATATATCCCCTCTTTAGCTGCTGATTTTGGCTGCTGAAAAAGTTTATTACACTTTGGATTGAGACGGCGGATATATTTTACAAACGACCGTACTGGACATCGGTCACTACCGGTACCTGAAAAGACAAATAAATTAAAATAAAAAAATATTGTCTATATTGAGAAACAAAAATGAGATATGCAAATAATATATTGATATTGATATACCAATGAAACAGAAAACTAAGTAAAAAATGATATAGGATTTGAGAGTAAAGACATGGTTTTTTTTTATCATAAGTTGCTATTGGTTTTTTTTTTATCTTTTATTTTGGCTGTTTTTAGTTTTCGTCGAATAACGAGATTGAATGTGCCTTTGGTATCTTCAGCTTCTCGTTTGCAATATCATTATAAATGTCTTTTTTTAGGTATTTTAATATAGTTTCTTCATAATTTTATAAATATTGGAGAAATGGCGAGTTGTGTACCTGCACTTGCAATATTTTTTTTTATTCAATTGGAAGTAGAAACCAAGCTTCCCACCTTGCGCTAAGACAAGAAGGTAGGTAAGTTCGCCCGAAGATATTGTTTTCCCCCTGGATCCATTGACAGCCTTTATCTTGAATAATTTCCTGATATACAAATCTTAAAAAACTTTTGGAGCTCATCAGGTAATGCCTGCCTCATATTAATTTAGACATAAAAATTTAATTACCTTTGATTTCATACATCCTACCATCAGAAGACTTTTCACTATCTGTCTGATGATTTTTTGTTAGTTCATCATGGGTTTTATAAACATAAAGTGTACCCTCTGGATCTGGTTGAACTGCAAAGTCCTGTCTTGTCAAGGTAGCCAGGTTCTCCCTGCCTCTACGACCGAAATGAATCATTATGTCCACAAATACCTGAAATTAAAGGATATTGTATGTATATCAATATCAATAAAATACATGTGATATAATATTAAATTGTAATTTTCAAATTGTTATATAAAACATGTCGCAAGAAAATTACTGGTTACTGGTCCATTTGATCAATTTTAAGTTTAACCGGTCCATTTGATTAATTTTAAGTTTAATAAAATTCACCTGTTCATACTTTTCTAGCACATATTTTACAAATTTTGAATGAAAATGTAAGATATCTTCATTTCATTTTTTGTTATATATACCTTGTACTGGAGCATTTTTGGACTTTCCAAATCTGTACAGAAAAACATGTACATCTTTTCCATATCAACATCAGCAATTGCTGGATAGTGCTCCACAGCTGCCAGACCAAGTCTTTTTAGCTCCTTTGTCATACCGGTACATTGATATGCTTTTTTTGACTTCTTGAAATTGTCACCTTTGAGTATGTCAATATCCCTTGTTTTGGACAAGTGACGTTGCAAACCTTGACGGTACGACTGCATGGTTGACTTTTTGTACATATCACCATTTTTGTTGCGCATTTCCATATAAAATTTAGCCAAAACGTCGTCCAATTGTTCATCTTCATAAGATTCAAAGTCGAGTGGTAGGCTCTTCTCCGTAAAATATTCACGAAAACTATTAAGAGCTGTGTTGGTTTGCCTCTTAGTATTTTTTGCATCCACATTTTCTAATAGATTTTCCCTATCTTCGTCCTCGAGGGATGCAAATCTTCGTTTTGTGGCCATTTAGCTAACGTCTGCTTGTTGTGATTGTACCGGAAGTAATGCAGAAAAGCATTTGATTGGTTGTTGAGAATGCGTCATTAAGTATATTGATTTTTAGATTTCTATTTTTAGATTTTTTAAAAATAACCGTGCAATATGCTTTTTGCTGTGCAATATGCTTTTTGCTATCCGCCGTTTTCTATCTACCTTCGAAAATATAGTTTAACATGTGACTATCCCTAAACGAATCAAATTAGTTAAAATATACGAATTAATAATAATATATAATATATCCCCATCGTTCATCAACAACATCAAACTGGAAGTACATTCTTTCATGGATATCGCTGTGTAGAACCAACTTAGTATTGTATCCCTAGTACAATACATAATTTTAAGTATGTTTTACCATTGTAACACTGAATTTTAAAAGTTGGTTCTATAATATCATTAAAACTATCTGATGGTTCACTTGGCATTCAAAAGCCACAATAAATCTAAAATTAAAACTATATGGTGGTTCACTCTGCATTAAAAGCCACAATAAATCCATGGTTTAAATATATGTTAAAAGTTTAAAATTTGTATCCCCCTTATTTTACTGGTATGACACATATGTACAACTAGAATGTACAATTTGTTTCAGAATTTTTTGTTTACCTGGAGTACATATGTATATGGGAAAATGATGTGAAGGCAATTAATTAATGATTTGTATAATGAGACTTTGAAAAAGGGTAGGTACATGTAACTAAACATGCTATAGAAAAACCATAAGCACACGTTTTCTATATTGACCTATTGAAAGAAAAGGAAAAAATATGGCAAAAAAGTTGTAAACAGTCCTGTTTAAACTAACTTAATTCTTGATATTTTAATGTGGCTCTTTATTCCAGGCTTGTGACTGGCAAGTTGTACTGTATTCATAATAATAAGCACCTTGGTTTTATTTAGAAATTAAAAATGGGGTATCTTATATCAATGAAAATGATAAAAGACGTAAATATTGGTCTGCTCTAGATGATTGTAAAGATTATTTTTAAAATAGATTTGCTGCATAATGAGGTTATATTATTTAATCACAAAATTTGTAGGCAAATCTAAGAGTTCTATCATGATTGTGGGTGTTATGGTGCATGAAAATTGGTGAATACAGTATTACTTGGCTGCATTACCCACCTCCCTCCTCAATTTTTTTTCTTTTCTTTTTCTTTCATTTTTTTTTTAATTTTCTTTTCTTTTTTCTCTCTTTTCTTTTCTTTAATTTTCTTTCTCTCTTCTTTTCTTTTTTTTTAATTTTCTTTCTTTTTTTTTTTCTTTTTTTTTTTTCTTTTCATTTTGTTTTCCTTTTTTTGTTCTTTCCTTTTTTCTATTCATTACATTTATGTACACAAAATAATGCATGTGCTTGAAACTTTTTTCTTTCTTATATAAATATATATATATATATACATGTATGTACAGTCTTCTTAAACTTGTAGAAGATTTTGAACAATTGTTTTTAGAATCCCAATCTTTCAGTAGTTGTTTTGTTTGTTGATGCAGTGCATTTTTCGTCTTCATTTGGTTATATTTTCCAAGCAGTTTAAATCCAATAATCATCATTGCTCTCTCATACTGTTCAGTAAAAGACATGTTTCCCGGATTTTCCGTTGCAAGTCAAACTTTTAACTTCTTCCGGTTCCTAGAATTGTATCAACCAGTGTTGTTATTTTTCTGGAAAAAATGATTTATTGATTTATAACAATAAAGAAGACTAATGATTTGTATATCAAACATAAGCTTTTATTTTATATATTGTATTGTTCAATGTTGATCATCTGCATATGGAATCATTTATATTGGGATATTACGACCAAAAGGCTAGTTTAGCCAGTGCATTCTCAGATAGTAGCCTGGAAACTGACCAGACCAATTTAACAAAAAAAATGTTTTGGAGCAATACTTCATTCCAAACCCAATTCACATGCAGCTGTGCTTTTGTGTACATGTACTTTTATATAAGAGCACACATGGGCACTCAACTAGGATGTAATGGGGCATGCAGGTATTTTCTTGCAATCTCTTGAATAAACTGTTATCACAGAGATATGTCTCGCCTTTTTGTAATTTTGATAATGCAAATGTTGAAATTAAAATAGCAATACTTTAACATGTAAGTTGTGCAAATATTCAAAGTCATTAAACCATGACTGAAGGTACATGGCTAAAAAATCTCCATGGAAATGAGATGTGCCAATGCTAATAGTAATACAACTGCATACCAAATACCATTGACTTATTATAAGTCGTTCCCTTTAAACAAACCTAAACAAACATTAACTTGTAAACTATGTAAAAGTTTCAAAGTCAATGAACCATGATCAGGGGTGGGGCTATATAATCTCCATGGAAACGATACTTGCAAATGCCAATAAATTTGCATACCAAATATCATTGACTTAACATTAGCAGTTCATCTTAAACTGATCTAATCACAAACTAATACATGTAAACTAAGCAAAAGTTTCAAAGTAAATAGACCATGACTGAGGGGGCGGTGCCAAATATTCTCCATGGAAATGAGATGTGCTAATGCTTATACAACTGAACACCAACTAACATTGGCCTACCACTAATGGTTCCCCTTGAACTAACCTAATCACAAACTAATACATGTTAACTTAGCAAAATTTTCAAAGTCTATAGACCATGACAAAGGGGGCGGAGCCAAATAATCTCCATGGAAATGAGATATGCCAATGCTTATACAACTGCATACCAAATATCATTGACCTACCACTAGTGGTTCCCCATAAATTGACCTAATCACCTAATCACAAACTAATACATGTAAACTATGAAAAGTTTCAAAGTCATTAGACCTTGACTGAGGGGGCGAGGCCAAATAATCTCCATGGTAATGAGATGTGCCAATGCTAATACAACTGCATACCAAATATCATTGACCTACCACTAGTGGTTCACCATGAACTAGACCTTATCACAAACTAATACATTGTTGACGCCACAGCCACCGCCGACGCCGGAAACAGCATACCTATGTTTCGCTTTTTTACTCCGTCAAGGCGAGACAAAAATACATAAACATTTAGAATTAGTAAAAATTGGGGGTACTTTTGTTGTGGTTAAAAGTATCCCCATCTTTCCTTAAAATACATTAAGGGAAAAACCATTTAACTTCAAAGGGGGGGTTATGGTTTTTGCCTAAAAACATATTCTGATCCTCAATTTGATGAAAAAAAATATTGTGGTCAAGCAGATGACAAAAAAAAATATTCTGAATCCAAATTTCCCCCATACCTTAACGTGTTAAATTTTGAAAAAAATTATTTGATTGATCAGATAGCGTCAAAATACTAAAAAAACAAGAAGACAGCAATATTCAAACAGGAAACCAATAAGTCGAGTAATGTTTTGGTATTTAATACTGGGTACTACAGAGCGATACTTGAATACTCGATGACATCCCTACTATGTACAGATATATATTTACCTGTTTTTGTACATATGTTTAATGTGGATTCAGTTTCTTCAGGTTCCTGACAATCTTTCCAGCCAAAAGGATCCAAATTTTCATCTACATAATAAAAAAAAAAACTTAGGCCTAATAAAAATATATTCATAGTTCCAGTTACATCCTCCAAAAAAATTGGGTCTGTAGGTCAACTTTGTTTTTTTTTTTTTTTGAATGTCAAAATCTGGCAAAAAATCTTGTGTTCACTGAGTCTGATTCTGGTAATGTACACGCCCCTCCTGGAAGTTTGCCATTTTCGATGTGTTTGGTTGTAAAATAAAAAGACATGTTACAATTTTGTTGCATTCTGTTAAGAAATTGTTGCATTTTTAGCCGTAGTGGATACTTTTATTGGAAATTCATATGACAGAAGTCTGTGAATTTAATTTTAGAAATTCACATTCCATAAAATGGGATCGTTCAAAATTTATTTAACAGAATTAAAAAAAAAAGTACTAGGGTCGGTCTGGTAACCAGAACCACATATATATTTTTATTTTGCCTTAATTCTAACGGCAATCATGGCAATTGATCATATCTTAATTCAGGTAGGTTTTGAAAATTAGTATCAAAATGAAGGCAATAGTATGTGATTTAAAAAGAATTTTTGTTTCTGTTTGTTGTTAACATATAGTTTAATTTTTATGCCAGCACCAAAGTGGAGGGGGCATTAAGTGTTACCCTTGTACGTCTGTATGTACGTCCCAAAAGTGGGTATCGTTCTTAACTTTAGTTTGCCTCAACCAACTGTTTTGAAACTTATACACAATTACCACAAAACTCTGATCAGCTTTGAATTTAAGTGGCATCACTTTTACTGTTCAAAAGTTATGCCCCTTTACAAATGGAAAAATTGCTGAATTTTTCATTTCTGTCTTTGAACTTAAGTGTGCCTCAACCAAATGTTAGTAGACTTATCCCAATGCTTATTACCGCAAAACTCAGATCAATTTCTAATTTGGGTGACATCACTTTTACTGTTTGTCCCTTTATAATGTTTTATGCAACCAGGGGCATCATCTTCTCCATTTATTTATTTTATTGCAAATTAGAACTATGAAAAAATAACAAGGATTTTAAGATTTTCAAACAATATGTAATAAAATTATGAAAAGATAAGTAGGGGTGAAAGCAGGCAAAATTGTAACGGCACTTCATGGATAAAACGAGAGGATTCCGATTATCTGACAAAAAGTTAAAAAAAAAAAAAAAAAAGAGCGAACATACTTTATTGATGTGTTTACGACACTTGGACAAAGACCATAACCATATATCCCCTGTGGTGCACGGTAGACAAAAAGAACTTCTGACTAAACTCTTTAAAACTTTCAAGCCTTATGCACATTACATTCCTATCAATTTTTATTTTAAGATGAAAATAAATTTGTTTTTAAGAGAGGAATTATATACTTACTAATATATAGCCGTATCAGACCACCAAGTTTTACTCTCCATCCTTGAAAACAGTCACTGCAATAACCTAAAAAAGGAATTAAAATTAACAAATTATATATTTTACAAAAGTGTTAAATTGTTAGCCAAAAAATTAGTTTTCCAACTTAAGATTAAGCATAGCATTAAAACCAGTTTAATATCTATTAAAGCCGGAAATACAAAACATGTTTTGATTTTGTTTCAACATTTTTTTTTTTCAATAATCTATGAGTTATCTCCCATTGAATGACACATTCTTGCTGTTTGTTGTACTAGTCTCCCCCCTGAAGATGAAATCTATCTCAGAATTTACTTTTCAAATGTTATAACATTTTATTCATGTTACTAGAAACCATATACATGTATCAAACTAATGAAATAACTCTTTCTTGGTAGTTTGAATGTGGAAAATAAAAAATAAATGTTTGATCTGTAAAACTTTAACCTTAAAATTATCTTAGTGAAAACTGTGAAAAAAAGTTTATTTATTACATCTGTTGCAATGAAGTACTGTGATTTCCAAGTTAAATAAAAATTGATGAAAATTTCACTTCTCTGATTTTATATGCAACAATGAGTGTTGTCAAAAGATAACAAAACTAATCAAAGAATTAAAATATAGAAAAATATTCAACTTATGACCAAACAACAATAATAATTTACTCATACCTACATACATTTGTGAATTAGTGTATTGTTCCTTCAATTGATGAATATTTTTTTTTATATTTGAATTTCAAAATTTTGCTGTTGATTCTTCGTATGTACAATTACTTCAAAGTTTGACAAAGTTATTGATGTTTGAAAACTTTTTAACCTGATAATACTGAACCCTAAATTTTGAAGCCTATAGCAAAGTAATGTGAACTGCTATGCCTGGCTTCTGCAACAAAATGTCACATGTAAAATAACAAAATTCAAAGGCGTTTACATAATCTTTAATCAACAAGTTTATAAATCTATGCAATGGTTCTTACCTTAAAAGTCGGATTCAATGATCATTCTAAACTTCAATCCATAATGACAAGCAGTAATTAATGCTAACCTGAAAGTAAAATGCTTAGGTCAATCAAAATAGTTCAAACAGAGGCTCTTTAGAGCCTGTGTTGCTCAACATCATCTTCAACAATAACCACTTCTTGATTAAAATCATCACGAAAGGGCAATAACTCTATAAAGTGTTACTTGACACATTCAGTCACGTTGACATATTTTAGATCTTGTCCTGGTGGTAATTTTTTCTAGATAATAGGCAAAAACTAAAAAAACATGGTAAAAATCATCTTTAAACATCAATAACTCCATGAACAGGTCGACTAAAGATTTAATCTTGAAATTTTATTGTCTGGATTTATAAATTAAATTATTTTTATTCCCCCAAGTATTATGTTGCCTGGTCACTACTGTCAGTTCCAACTTGTTTTGCTGCCATGCTGCCCTATCTGAAGTTATAGGGAGTCATGCTGTGTTCCTTTGAATTGACAGGTGTGTCACTGCCTTTGAAGTTTGCTTCTCATGAATAGCTAATAAACTTTTTAGGCAACAAACAGGTAAATTTTAAACAGATGAGATGACTCTCAAAAAAAACCAATAAAACAATTAATCTACAAATTGCACCGATTGTAAGCTTACATAATTTTACTTCTTTCAGTTTTTCTTTCATCACAGAGTACTAGAATGTCCTACCACAGAGTAGGTAACCTATCAAAAAGTTCTATACTCTGGTAGCCATCATCATTGGTCAATTGCTCTTTTTGACTATATATCATTAACTTATTTTCATTTTATTCCTGTATTTCAATCAGTAATGAAGACGTTTTTTTTATATAATCATTATTTCCAAATGTTAAGAGACTATTTGCTGTTATAATTAATTCAGAAATTAATGTGATGTTTTATATTTCTCTCTGGGCTCCTGTCTATCTGTTATACATATTCAAATTATTTTAATATCTATCAGACAACTATTAATAAATAAAAAAAAAAAATACTTTAACTTTCCGATGCATATGGTCCGAGTACACAGTTATTTCGTAGTGCATTTCTTTTAGACAATAAATGGAAATAAAAAAAATCCCACCTGCGCTTTCTCAATAATATTTTTACAGTGTGTTGTACTACTTTTGGGACAAATCATATCAAAATTATAGAAAACTTCATCAGCTCCAACTCAAAATATGGATAATTTTATGTTAAGGGGGTCTTGAAATCTTTTGACAGCTTCCGAAATGCTAATTTTTAACCTTTTCCAGCTGGACCAAATCACTACTTTATTTTAAAATTCATGAATCGAATTTTTTTACAGTGTAATTTTATCCCCCTACTTGCTATTTGAGGCATAAAACATGAAGAAATAAATTTGGAAGGGGTATAAAAAAAAATTGGCAAGTAACACACTGTCCAGACTAGGGACTATATTCGTGGACAACGAAAATCAAAGAACGATAACTGTGTACTCGGACCTAATAGGATAGAAAAAATTGACCAATCTTAATAAAACTTGGTATGACCTATGCTTAATAAATTATGAGACTGCTTACAAAGTTTCATGGCAATAGGATTCATATTATAGACAGTATGATAAATTCTATATTCAACATTGCTTGTTAAAATTTGACATTAAAATTGAAAAATTTCAACTATCAACATTTGGGGCTTTAAAAATCAAAATATTGCAAAAAAATACTTTTTAAATGCCTTTATATATAATATATCATGTATTGAAAGCAATAAAAAACTCATTTGATTTATCAAACTTAGCATAATTATTCCAAAGTCAAATTTATATGAGCCTGTGCCTAAAAATGGAGGTTTTCCAATGAAGGGGGTGCTTACATGAAGATGTAATATTTTCCAGCAATTTTAAATTTGTGAAGTTTTTTGGTTATAAAGAATCCTTATGTATGTATTTAATGTACTTTAAATGGAAAGAAAAATTACAAATAGCTTATCATATTAGTTTAAAAGGGTCTTAGGCCAAGTAACACTGAAAATAATTAAGGGTCAATTTAGGCCGTAGTACATGTTTACATTAAAAAATGCATACTGAAGCTATAGAAAATAAACATTTGTGTCTTTTTCATCATTTCTATACTCAGGTGACATGATACAATAATTCTGAGCACAAAAAGACTCTTGCATTCAACTTTTTTTGCAGACAGTATGGTCTGATACAAAGATTTTTCACTTTTTAGTGAAAAACTTGCATGCAATTTTAGTCTCAACAGGCTTATATTTGAATCACTTTCTATCCTACAGAAGAAAAGAAAGATATTATGTGAAATGAAACAGGTACAAAAGACATTGTAAAGTGTTTTTTATACAAATTTAGTGAGGTCTTTATTATGGACTTCAACTTTTATGTACCAAGCTCCTCACATTTAACTTGATCCAAACAGGGCGTTAGACGAGGGTCATTTATACAACACATTTTGCACATATTGTCTGAGATAATCTTCTTTTCTGTAGATTCAGAGTCCACAAATGAGTAAAACAACTGGATTAAAGCATAGCAACACAAATATTGACAAATGAAAACCTGTCAGACAGAAAGTCAGAATGCCACTTTAGCATCAAAATTGAAAAAGCTATGAAATGCTTATTTTGACCATATAATGCCAAAATTGGTCATTTTTGCAGAATTTCTATCAAATAAAAGTTTAAATCCTTTAGTTTCATGCTATTTGACAAATTGACACCATTAAATCATTCAGGGAAGTTGCCAAAGTACAAATTCTATATTTACTGATTTCACCTCTTAGGTCCGAGTACACAGTTATTTCGTAGTGCATTTCTTTTAGACAATAAATGGAAATAAAAAAAATCCCACCTGCGCTTTCTCAATAATATTTTTACAGTGTGTTGTACTACTTTTGGGACAAATTATATCAAAATTATAGAAAACTTCATCAGCTCTAACTCAAAATATGGATAATTTTATGTTAAGGGGGTCTTGAAATCTTTTGACAGCTTCCGAAATGCTAATTTTTAACCTTTTCCAGCTGGACCAAATCACTACTTTATTTTAAAATTCATGAATCGAATTTTTTTACAGTGTAATTTTATCCCCCTACTTGCTATTTGAGGCATAAAACATGAAGAAATAAATTTGGAAGGGGTATAAAAAAAATTGGCAAGTAACACACTGTCCACACTAGGGACTATATTCGTGGACAACGAAAATCAAAGGACGATAACTGTGTACTCGGACCATATGTTACCTGTCCTGACGTAAATATCCTGGGGCTGGTATCTGAAACAAAAACAAAATAAGTTCAAAAATATTGAACCAAATATAAAACTTAAAAAATTTGCTACTTTAATTTTTCTTTTCTTTCAAAATATCTATAAAGAAAAACTGGCATTAATGGCAGCCATCATCATTGCTCAATTGCTCTTTTTTACTATATATCATTAACTTATTTTCATTTTAAATCTATATTTCAATCAGTAATGAAGACGGTTTAATGATATAATCATTATTTCCGAAATTAATGTGTGTGTCAAATTATCAGAAGTTGGTGGCTAACCAAAACAATCTGATGTATACATTTTGAACAGAAATGATTAAAATTCAACTGAATTTCAAACAATCTAAATCAGGTCATATTTTCCCCAATTACTTATAGAAAAATGCAGATGAATATGTAAATTTCCAGGGAAAAACGGATTTTAATGACCTCACAAATATGAACATAGTTTTAAGTACAATTATATTGCTTGCATATTATTGTGGATTTCTTTATTTTCTTGGGCACCAATTTATTTTATATTAAGGAACAATTGTATTTTTGTGGGTACTTCATTTCATGGTTTTGCCAAAGTCTGCATACAAAAATTAAGACTTTACAATGACATCCATGTAACCAATTCAAATCTTTAGAACATTTAGTCAAGAAAAAAAACAACATATTTACCTCTTACAACTTTAAGCCTTGAGCACATTTTATTTCCTTTAAACTTATTTTATAAAAATAAAAGGAGTAGGCCTGGTAAGACCCCTTTTTGGCCCCAAAATATAGCATTTTTACAAATTTGTTTAAATGTAAACTTTTAGCTATTTATTGCAAAGAAGAATACTTCTGTTCCATTAATATGGGCTGATTTTGACAATACAATGCACATGCATGAAGTAATAACATCAGAAATTCATGCAATATTACTGAAATCTTCACAATTTTAGCATTTGTGCTAATTTTACGGTGGTTTTGTCTAAAATTGAAGTGGCCGCATTTGTGTTCTGTCTTAATATTTAAATATATGTTGTATTTGATGATAATACATTACATATATAAAGGTTGAGACTGAACACGAATGCGGCCACTTTCATTTTAGACAAAAACCATCTGAAAAGTGACATTTTATGGATTATTTGATAGATTTTTCGTATTTAAGCCTCTATTTGAGCGTCTTTTATGACCAAATCAGTCCAAATCTTTTACATACACTAATTGAATCGACTGAAGTAGACACTTGCGTGTTTAAAAAATGTCAAAAATCTTTCATTAGATGTACTTCATTATTAGGCCAAAACGAACCCTTACCAGACCTTCTCCTTTGTTTAAATAGAGGAATTATATACCTACTTGTATATTAGAAATATTATACCACCAAGTCTTACTCCCCATTCATGAAAACATTGGCACTAATATAACCTAAAAAGGAATTAGAATTGACACAAATTATATATTTTACAAATCTGTTAAATTGCCAACCTAAATTTTTTTTTAAATTCTGTATTCTAATTGCATAATAGTGAGTTATCTCCCACTGAAAGAAACATTCTTGCTTTTTATTGTACTAGTCTCCCCTTGAAGGATAAAATTCTATCTCAGGATTTACTTTTCACGTTATAAAATTTTATTTGTGTACCTGGAAAACATTTGTTAACCTGATAAATTATCTATTTCTGTGTTGTAAATGTGCAAAATAAGAAAAATGTGTGTTGCCTTATGTACTTTATCACATTTTTCTAGATAATGTACAGAAATTGGTTGGCTTAAATATACTTGCGTTATTTCTTTCATGTCATGGCCTCAGACTTGGGTGAAGATTAATGTAATAATTAATCTTCCTTGGAGCTTCAATATAGAAAGAAAAAACTGGCATTAATGGCAGCGAACATCATTGGTCAATTGCCCTTTTAGACTATATATCATTCATTATTTTCATTTTAAATAGTAATGAAGACAGTTAAATGATATAATAATTATTTCCAAAATAAATGTGTGCTTCGAATTATCAGAAAATGGTGGCTAAGTTAACCAAAACAATCTGATGTGTACATTTTGAACAGAAAACAATCTAAATCAAGCCATATTTTCCCAATTACATTTTTTACTTAAAAAAAAAAATGCAGATAAATATGTATATATCCAAATTGTCAATGTTAAGCAACTATTTGTTGTAATAATTATTTCAGAAATTAATGTGATGCATGTTTTATGTCAAATCCTAAATTGGGGTATAAGTATATTTAATATTATAATACATTCTTATTAAAATATATTTCATAAGAGTATAAATTTGGCAAAGAAATTTTGGACCATTTTGTTATGAAATTTCAAGCAGTTTTTCCAGGAGAAAACTGATTTTAAATACCTAACAAATATTATCATAGTTTAAAGTACAATTGTAATAACCAAATACTTACATGTTATTTATCTCCAATTTTCAATGAAATAATCTTCATCTTCTGCGACTGAAACTTGGTAAGGCCTGCTACTTTAAGCATCTTGTCCTGGTCTTCGCCAATGGCTCCATTTTCGGGGTCTTTGCTGTAAACATCTTCTTCATAGTATCTGAAACAAAGACAAAATTATTTATAGACAGATGCTGATAAACTCAAATAAAATTTACATATATTCAACAGTGAGCAAAAAAAAAAAGACAGTTCAAAATTATCAAACCAAATATAAAACTTTTAATAAAGTTTGCTTATTTAAAAAATTTAACTTTTTTCAAAATATTTAGAAAGAAAAAACTGGCATTAATGGCAGCCATCATCATTGGTCAATTGCTCTTTTTGACTTTATATCATTAACTATTTTCATTTTAAATCTTTATTTTAATCAGTAATAAAACGGTTTAATGATATAATCATTATTTTTCGAAATTAATGTGTGCGTCAAATGATCACAAGTTGGTGGCTATTCAAAACAATCTGATGTATACACTTGAACAGAAATGATTAAAATTCAACTGAATTTCAAACAATATAAATCAGGTCATATTTTCCCAATTACTTGTAAAAAAATGCAGATAAATATGTAAATTTCCAGGAAAAAACTGATTTTAATGACCTAACAAATATGAACATAGTCTTAAGTACAATTGTATAACCAAATACTTACATACTACTCATTTCCAATCTTCAATGAAACAATCTTCATGTTCTGTGACTGACTGGAACTTGGTAAGGCCTGCTACTGTAATAGAACTAAAATTATAATTAGACTAAAATTAAATATACTTTCCTTTAATTTTCTTGTCCTGGTCTTCGTCAATGGCTCCATTTTCGGGGTCTTTGCTGTAAACATCTTCTTCATAGTATCTGAAACAAAGACAAAATTATTTATAGACAGATGCTGATAAACTCAAATAAAATTTACATATAATATTCAACAGTGAGCAAAAAAAAAAAGACAGTTCAAAAATATCAAACCAAATATAAAACTTTTAATAAAGTTTGCTTATTTAAAAAATAAAACTTGTTTCAAAATATTTAGAAAGAAAAAACTGGCATTAATGGCAGCCAACATCATTGGTCAATTGCTCTTTTTGACTATATATCATTAACTATTTTCATTTTAAATCTTTATTTAAATCAGTAATGAAGACGGTTTAATGATATAATCATTATTTTCGAAATTAATGTGTGCGTCAAATTATCACAAATTGGTGGCTATTCAAAACAATCTGATGTAGACACTTGAACAGAAATGATTAAAATTTAACTGAATTTCAAACAATCTAAATCAGGTCATATTTTCCCAATTATTTATAGAAAAATGCAGATGAATATGTAAATTTCCAGGGAAAAACTGATTTTAATGACCTAACAAATATGAACATAGTTTTAAGTACAATTGTATAACCAAATACTTACATGCTACTCATTTCCAATCTCCAATGAAACAATCTTCATGTTCTGTGACTGACTGGAACTTGGTAAGGCCTGCTACTGTAATAGAACTAAAATTATAATTAGACTGAAATTAAATATACTTTCCTTTAATTTTCTTGTCCTGATCCTCGTCAATGGCTCCATTTTCGGAGTCTTTGCTGTAAACATCTTCTTCATAGAACTGAAACAAAAACAAAATTATTTATAGACAGATGCTGATAAACTCAAATAAAATTTACATATATTCAACAGTGAGCAAAAAAAAAAAGACAGTTCAAAAATATCAAACCAAATATAAAACTTTTAATAAAGTTTGCTTATTTAAAAAATAAAACTTGTTTCAAAATATTTAGAAAGAAAAAACTGGCATTAATGGCAGCCAACATCATTGGTCAATTGCTCTTTTTGACTATATATCATTAACTATTTTCATTTTAAATCTTTATTTAAATCAGTAATGAAGACGGTTTAATGATATAATCATTATTTTCGAAATTAATGTGTGCGTCAAATTATCACAAATTGGTGGCTATTCAAAACAATCTGATGTAGACACTTGAACAGAAATGATTAAAATTTAACTGAATTTCAAACAATCTAAATCAGGTCATATTTTCCCAATTATTTATAGAAAAATGCAGATGAATATGTAAATTTCCAGGGAAAAACTGATTTTAATGACCTAACAAATATGAACATAGTTTTAAGTACAATTGTATAACCAAATACTTACATACTACTCGTTTCCAATCTCCAATGAAACAATCTTCATGTTCTGTGACTGACTGGAACTTGGTAAGGCCTGCTACTGTAATAGAACTAAAATTATAATTAGACTAAAATTAAATATACTTTCCTTTAATTTTCTTGTCCTGATCCTCGTCAATGGCTCCATTTTCGGGGTCTCTGCTGTAAACATCTTCTTCATAGAACTGAAACAAAAACAAAATTATTTATAGACAGATGCTGATAAACTCAAATAAAATTTACATATATTCAACAGTGAGCAAAAAAAAAAAGACAGTTCAAAAATATCAAACCAAATATAAAACTTTTAATAAAGTTTGCTTATTTAAAAAATAAAACTTGTTTCAAAATATTTAGAAAGAAAAAACTGGCATTAATGGCAGCCAACATCATTGGTCAATTGCTCTTTTTGACTATATATCATTAACTATTTTCATTTTAAATCTTTATTTAAATCAGTAATGAAGACGGTTTAATGATATAATCATTATTTTCGAAATTAATGTGTGCGTCAAATTATCACAAATTGGTGGCTATTCAAAACAATCTGATGTAGACACTTGAACAGAAATGATTAAAATTTAACTGAATTTCAAACAATCTAAATCAGGTCATATTTTCCCAATTATTTATAGAAAAATGCAGATGAATATGTAAATTTCCAGGGAAAAACTGATTTTAATGACCTAACAAATATGAACATAGTTTTAAGTACAATTGTATAACCAAATACTTACATGCTACTCATTTCCAATCTCCAATGAAACAATCTTCATGTTCTGTGACTGACTGGAACTTGGTAAGGCCTGCTACTGTAATAGAACTAAAATTATAATTAGACTGAAATTAAATATACTTTCCTTTAATTTTCTTGTCCTGATCCTCGTCAATGGCTCCATTTTCGGAGTCTTTGCTGTAAACATCTTCTTCATAGAACTGAAACAAAAACAAAATTATTTATAGACAGATGCTGATAAACTCAAATAAAATTTACATATATTCAACAGTGAGCAAAAAAAAAAAGACAGTTCAAAAATATCAAACCAAATATAAAACTTTTAATAAAGTTTGCTTATTTAAAAAATAAAACTTGTTTCAAAATATTTAGAAAGAAAAAACTGGCATTAATGGCAGCCAACATCATTGGTCAATTGCTCTTTTTGACTATATATCATTAACTATTTTCATTTTAAATCTTTATTTAAATCAGTAATGAAGACGGTTTAATGATATAATCATTATTTTCGAAATTAATGTGTGCGTCAAATTATCACAAATTGGTGGCTATTCAAAACAATCTGATGTAGACACTTGAACAGAAATGATTAAAATTTAACTGAATTTCAAACAATCTAAATCAGGTCATATTTTCCCAATTATTTATAGAAAAATGCAGATGAATATGTAAATTTCCAGGGAAAAACTGATTTTAATGACCTAACAAATATGAACATAGTTTTAAGTACAATTGTATAACCAAATACTTACATACTACTCGTTTCCAATCTCCAATGAAACAATCTTCATGTTCTGTGACTGACTGGAACTTGGTAAGGCCTGCTACTGTAATAGAACTAAAATTATAATTAGACTAAAATTAAATATACTTTCCTTTAATTTTCTTGTCCTGGTCTTCGTCAATGGCTCCATTTTCGGGGTCTTTGCTGTAAACATCTTCTTCATAGTATCTGAAACAAAGACAAAATTATTTATAGACAGATGCTGATAAACTCAAATAAAATTTACATATAATATTCAACAGTGAGCAAAAAAAAAAAGACAGTTCAAAAATATCAAACCAAATATAAAACTTTTAATAAAGTTTGCTTATTTAAAAAATAAAACTTGTTTCAAAATATTTAGAAAGAAAAAACTGGCATTAATGGCAGCCAACATCATTGGTCAATTGCTCTTTTTGACTATATATCATTAACTATTTTCATTTTAAATCTTTATTTAAATCAGTAATGAAGACGGTTTAATGATATAATCATTATTTTCGAAATTAATGTGTGCGTCAAATTATCACAAATTGGTGGCTATTCAAAACAATCTGATGTAGACACTTGAACAGAAATGATTAAAATTTAACTGAATTTCAAACAATCTAAATCAGGTCATATTTTCCCAATTATTTATAGAAAAATGCAGATGAATATGTAAATTTCCAGGGAAAAACTGATTTTAATGACCTAACAAATATGAACATAGTTTTAAGTACAATTGTATAACCAAATACTTACATGCTACTCATTTCCAATCTCCAATGAAACAATCTTCATGTTCTGTGACTGACTGGAACTTGGTAAGGCCTGCTACTGTAATAGAACTAAAATTATAATTAGACTAAAATTAAATATACTTTCCTTTAATTTTCTTGTCCTGATCCTCGTCAATGGCTCCATTTTCGGGGTCTCTGCTGTAAACATCTTCTTCATAGAACTGAAACAAAAACAAAATTATTTATAGACAGATGCTGATAAACTCAAATAAAATTTACATATATTCAACAGTGAGCAAAAAAAAAAAGACAGTTCAAAAATATCAAACCAAATATAAAACTTTTAATAAAGTTTGCTTATTTAAAAAATAAAACTTGTTTCAAAATATTTAGAAAGAAAAAACTGGCATTAATGGCAGCCAACATCATTGGTCAATTGCTCTTTTTGACTATATATCATTAACTATTTTCATTTTAAATCTTTATTTAAATCAGTAATGAAGACGGTTTAATGATATAATCATTATTTTCGAAATTAATGTGTGCGTCAAATTATCACAAATTGGTGGCTATTCAAAACAATCTGATGTAGACACTTGAACAGAAATGATTAAAATTTAACTGAATTTCAAACAATCTAAATCAGGTCATATTTTCTCAATTATTTATAGAAAAATGCAGATGAATATGTAAATTTCCAGGGAAAAACTGATTTTAATGACCTAACAAATATGAACATAGTTTTAAGTACAATTGTATAACCAAATACTTACATGCTACTCGTTTCCAATCTCCAATGAAACAATCTTCATGTTCTGTGACTGACTGGAACTTGGTAAGGCCTGCTACTGTAATAGAACTAAAATTATAATTAGACTAAAATTAAATATACTTTCCTTTAATTTTCTTGTCCTGATCCTCGTCAATGGCTCCATTTTGGGGTCTTTGCTGTAAACATCTTCTTCATAGAACTGAAACAAAAACAAAATTATTTATAGACAGATGCTGATAAACTCAAATAAAATTTACATATATTCAACAGTGAGCAAAAAAAAAAAGACAGTTCAAAAATATCAAACCAAATATAAAACTTTTAATAAAGTTTGCTTATTTAAAAAATAAAACTTGTTTCAAAATATTTAGAAAGAAAAAACTGGCATTAATGGCAGCCAACATCATTGGTCAATTGCTCTTTTTGACTATATATCATTAACTATTTTCATTTTAAATCTTTATTTAAATCAGTAATGAAGACGGTTTAATGATATAATCATTATTTTCGAAATTAATGTGTGCGTCAAATTATCACAAATTGGTGGCTATTCAAAACAATCTGATGTAGACACTTGAACAGAAATGATTAAAATTTAACTGAATTTCAAACAATCTAAATCAGGTCATATTTTCCCAATTATTTATAGAAAAATGCAGATGAATATGTAAATTTCCAGGGAAAAAC